CCGCCGAGCAGGGAGCCCGATGCGGGGCTCGATCCCAGGACCCTGGGACCATGACCTGAGCAGAAGGCAGGCGCTTAACGACTGAGCCACCCGGGCGCCCCGCACCTAGGATTTTCTTATCTTTCCATCCCTTTGTTCTTTAACTCACCACGTGCTTACAGAGTTCCTGTTCTGTGCTGGGCACTGGGGGTACAGTGGGGGTGAGGTGGACCCCGTCCTCCTGTTGCATGAGGCGAGGCGGATGGGACCCCCCAGCCCCAGCACTGTGTGGTGAGCATGAAAAGGTACGGGTGCTAGGAAGCACGTGAGGGGGGCTGTGCGGTCTTGGGGTGTCAGGGGCCCTGTCTCTGCAGAGGGGACTTTCAGCTGACATTGGAAGGATGACTGGGTGTTGGACATGAGAGTGGGAGCAACTGGAGACACACCAGGAAGGTGTGTGAAAGGCAGGAAGCGTGTCCCAAGGGACTGGCAAGGACTGGGTGTGACACCATCAGAGTTGCCTTTTGTGAAGGTGACCCTCTGCTGAATCTGGCCCACTGCCTGTTTTTCTCCACAAAGCTTTATTGGCACCCAGCTGCACCCATTAGTTTACGTTTTGCCAATGGCTGCTTTCTAGATGTGGAATTGTGGAATCAAAGGCCACGTGGCCCACAGGGCCGGACATATTTACGTGGACCTCTTACGAAGCACTTGCAGACCGCTCTGTTAAAAAGCTGGGTTGGGGGCGCCTGGGTGGCTCAGTCGGTTAAGCAGCCGCCTTCGGCTCAGGTCATAATCCCAGGGTCCTGGGATCGAGCCCCACGTCAGGCTCCTTCCTCAGTGGGGAGCCTGCTTCTCCCTCTCTCCCTGCCTGCTGCTCCCCCTGCTTGTGCTCTCCTTCTCTGTATCTCTATCAAGTAAATAAATAAAATCTTAAAAAAAAAAAAAAGCTGGGTTGGTTTGGGATGTCCTGGAAGCAGCGCTGAGACAAGGGGGTTGGCACGGGAATAACGGCGGTGGGTGGAGGACGTGGGCCGGCAGGACTCGGGGCTGGATGGGGTCAGGCAGGGGAGAGCGTGGATGTGAGGAGCGCTGATGGAGACCCTGCTCTGAGGGAAGGCCCCCTGTTGAGGTCCGGACAGGCCCTGACCACCTGACTATTCTGGAACCTTCCTTTCATTTCTCCACGAAACTGACTCCTGGTCTCTGCAGCTGCATCATGCTCCACAGATCTTTCCCTCCAGGGTTTGCCGATGAAACTGGAAAGTGTCTTCACCTTGCTCCCAAATGGGATGTGGGGTGTGGAGACCCCACAGTTCCCGGAGCATCTGTCTCTG